TGTAGTCTTTTTGTGTGTCTGTGTCTCTTTGTAGTCTTTATGTGTCTGTGTCTCTTTGTAGTCTTTACGTGTCTCTTTGTAGTCTTTTTGTGCGTCTGTGTCTCTTTGTAGTCTTTTGTATCTCTTAGTAGCCTTTTTGTGTGTCTTTGTAGTCTCTTTGTGTCTCTTTCTGTCTCTTTGTAGTCTTTTTGTCATAAATATAGTGAAGTAGAATTATAGTGGCATTAAAACAAAGTACTCAAGTTAAGTACAACTAACTCAAATTTGTACTTAAGTACAAAAGTTGAGTAACTGTACTTTGTGTTTTAGGAGACGCTTCTGTTTATGTTAAAGTAAAGAATTTAATTGGTGGTTTTAATTGCAGGTTCCTTGACATTTTTATTATATCATCATTATAAAGAAAGCTGGAATCGTTTGTAGCTGGAGGTTCTGGATATTTAGTGGAAAGATATAAAGAAAGCAAATTAAATGTTATGAATGTGAGATTATTAAAGACAGACACTCGTTAACACAGCTGATTATTTTATATACTGCTGGGTAGTTCACTCTATAATAATACATCATAATTTATTAGTTTATTAATAATCTGAATGTGTAAAGTAACTAAATCTGTCAGATTATTGTAGAGTAGAGTTATAAAGTACAAGAACGTCAACATTGTACTACGATTTGTGTATAAAAGTACTTAGTTACTCTCCATAAACAATAATAAACTTTATTAATAGAACTTCTCAAAAACAAGTTACAAAGACTGATAAATGATAAAAGTAGAATACATATGGTAATAATGACAAAGAGTCCGTGCATCGTTCGCTCTTTTTGTTTTTATGTTTCAAAATCGAGTCGTTTATTAAAATCAGAACGGAAAAACTGAAAAAGAAGAAAAAACAGAAGAATTATTGGAGCGGTTTTCGTTTTTCTCCATGACGCAGATCATATATTTAAAAATCCTCCTCACTGCTTTTCCATTCCGTTTTTTAAAACAGAAAAAAATAAAAATAATTTTCGATTCACTTTTGAAACGGAAAAGCAAAGAACGAACCGCACACAGATTACAAAGCACGCCATAAATTAATAAAACACATTTAAAACAAGTCACGTAAAAGCGGAAGAATTACCGGTTCTTGATAAAGAAATTCTGAAAAAGAAGAAAGAAGAAACAGGTTCTGTCTCCACTAAATACTTTTGTTGCCTAAACTTAACTGAGTTGTTTCCTGTGAAGACGGAACTTTAGTTTGAAATCGACCCGTGTTGCTGGACTTTTGTAGGAAAACGCACAAAAAACGAGGAACAACTCTTTGGTCAGATGTGAAATGAACCGTTGTGTGAGGACACGTTACGCTCAGCCTCACGTGACTCTTTTGTTGGAGTATTGTGAGTATTCTTTTGTTCATCTCTGCGTGAATGCGTCCCGAGGTGTCGGCCCTGCAGCGCCCCCTGCTGCCTGGTTGCCTTGAACGATCTCCTGCAGCAGGACGAAGTTGGAGAGTTTCCACTTCCTGTATATGGGCGCCACGAGAACCGGGTCGGTCAGGACCTGATCCACCACCCGCAGCTCCAACTCTTTGGCCTGAAGGACGGACAGACAAAGTACTTATACGTATTCATTAGTGATAAAAACAGAATAATATAATATTATCTAATGAAACAGAATAAGAGTATTTAAGAGTATTTCTACACTGTGGTATCACTACTTTGACTTCACCTTCAGCGTGCTGCTGAGGATCCGGAGCAGGTGAAGCTTGTCGTTGACTTTGTCGTTCTGACATCGTCGGACGAACGACGCTCTGAAGTCCCTCTGACTGGACCGGCCAATCGGAGACAAGCTGGCTGCCCTGAGGTGGTTGTAGAGGCTCTCCATCTCGTCAGGGGGCTTCTCTGCAAAGAGAGAAAGAGGACTCTTTAACAACAGACAACGTAATGTTTCATCCACACACTTTGTTTGGATCATTTTCTGTAACCAGTGTAGCATTAATGCACGGTGGATTTAACAAGCTACCTCGCTACCTAGCCAGCCATCTGTCTCCGGAGAACGACAAGCTAACTAACTAGCTGGCTAACTAGCCAGCCATCTGTCTCTGGAGCTGCGTCCCGGTGACATGATACAACTACAACTACAGAGGTCTCCCTTCAGGTCCACACCTCCAGATTTCTTTTACATTTTCAAACTTGTAGTTTTCCGACTCAAGTGACATCACTCGAGGACATTCACCAGACATCACACAGGGCCCTCTGGACACACTAAAGGGTTTATAGTACTTTTTAAATACAAATGCAGTAGAAACGCATGTAAAATCAGTGGAGTTCAGGTGTTTACCGTGGACGACCTCCTCTTCGGTTTCTTTGTCGATGTGCAGCAGAGGGAGGCAGGGTCCTCCGCTGGCTCCATCAGGTCCCGGGACGTCCAGCCAGGACAGAGGTTCACCGCCCTCTGAGGCGTTTCTTCTTCTTCTGTCTTCACTCATGCCTCCGGCCTCCGAGGGGCTCCTTCGTCTGTCTTCACTGGTTGGTGTTGAGTCGCAGAGAGGCCGAAGAACGTCTCCCTGTGAGAAGGTCAGTATGTTTAAAAAAAATAAAAAATAGACCATATGGAGGATTTAAAATGATTCTCTCTTCACACTTTTGTTCCTCACATTTTCAGAATTGTCTGTTTCTTGCTCAGAGTTCAGAGAACAGGAAGTGGAGACGAGCTCGTCAGCATCTAGGTCGCTGCCCTCACTGTAGCACTCTGCACAAAGATGGGGGGGGGGGGGGGGGGGGGGGGGGGAACGAAAGAGA